CTGCTGGGGACTGTGGCACCGTATAGGCGGATAAGTGAAAAGATTGGTTCCGTGAACATTTTCAGAAAATTACGGTTAGACCGTGTATGCACATATGTGGCATTTACTGTTTATTTATTTTTCCAAAAGTTTGTCATCATTAGCCAAAACTGGATCGTGATAGTGGTTGACATTGTGATGTGATGTTACTGATACATTTATGATTATGGCATTATATAGAGTAATAGCAGTACTAGATGCAATATTGTAAAAATTTTGAGGTGAAGAGCTATTGAATGTATTATATTTATAGAGGGTGTTGCATTACATGTTTACATCATGTTATGCCACAAATTAATCTGAGCTATACTGTAGCGAGAATACAATTAATTTAGAATATGGACAACCCCATGCCAAGTTATTTTGGATACTTGCACTTGCCATATTTGCTTTAACCTTTTAAAAATGATGTGTGATTTTGACGAGTTCCCAGGAACCACAAGCCACTACATTCTCTACATCGTTAAAAAAATGTATCATTGAATCGAATCATGACCTTGATTTGCAGCATTCAATGAACCTCAATAGAGATTAAATGTATTGCCCCTATTAACGTAAAGTTGTAGCGCAGTGTTTAGCACGCTGCACCAACCCTTTGACCTAAGTTAAATTCCAGGCCACGACTTGCATCAGTGGCAACTGATGCATCCCCATTTTACCATCTCACATTAACCAGTGTAGTGAAGTATAGTCAAATCCTCTCAGGACCGGCATGGCATGAGGAGACTCTGTATCCATTGCTGGATGGAAAATTGTTGTATCTACACGTACTTGTTAATACACTGCCTTTCCACAGTGTACTTATTGTTGATATATAAAGCTTGATTATTCAGCTGGATTATACATCATGCTTGTACTTATGTGCATGTTTTTTCTTTGTAGAAATATTTTCATTTCTTTTTAAATATTCGGGGTCATACTGCACTTGGTTTGCAAAACATTTTTAACACTTGGAAAAATACCTCTTTTTTATTTCACAAGTAATGTTTTCATTACAGAACATAGTTGTAAATTAAAATCTTGTGCATATTATGTATGTTTTTTTAATCCCCTAACTAAACTGTATTATTCATTCCCACATGGCCCCTAAGTTAGCATTAAGTACTGTGCTCTATTTAAAGAAGTATATGTTTGTACAAAGTGATGCTGTCTGCTCTGTGTCTTTCTAATCGGAAAGGTCGCTCAGTCACAACAGTACAGACCTTGCGCCAACCACAGGCCTGGCTCTGTCTTCAGCTGCAAATAATTCTTTTTCACAGTTCATACATCACTTTAAATTCACTTTCTCACAAGACAGCTTACATTCTTTCCTATTTCCTTTATTAATGACAGACTGATAAGCTGCACGGTTTATTTTGCAAATGGAACATTTTTGTGGAGTAACATAGTAACTTTGTACGATAAAAATAGCTCGATGTTTAATGTACCGTTTTGTAGTACTTTGAAGTGCATAAAATGCAATACTTAACTCCATTCAGTGGATTTGTTCCGGAAGTTGTATTTGTGATTAAGATTTTATCTACGACAAATTCTGAACAGAATGTGGTTGGTGTTGACAGAGCAATGTAAGTTGGCACTGCAGTTTTCTCGAATCAGCGTTATTCAGTATTTGCTTTTAAAACACTGCTATAATAATTGTATTAACTTAAGGTCACCACTGTGGTGCAGTAACCCATGAAAGCACAGCAACTTGTTTTGACAAAGGTCTTTGGATAATTATTCATTCATCTATATTTCGTAGACAAAAAAATACATTTAGGTCAATTATTGTAAATTGAAAAGTGTGTAAAGAATCATGGGCAGATGCTGGCTATGAATTACAAGAAAAAAATCATAAATAGGTACACGTAGATTATAAAACATATACAGCATAACAACATTAAAATGAGGCACCAGTGGTGTAAATGCTTAACCGTAGCTCTCATACTCTGAGTTGTGCGCCTTTTGGCGTCATCTGGTCCAACCCATGTGAGACTAGGCTCTAAGGAAAGCTGTCTCGGGTGTGGACCAATCGACTTCAAGGACAGTGCATACATTATCAGAGTTATGTTTTTTGTTTGCATTATGACTGCAGGTATTGTGGTCTATGCAAACATGACTCCTCGTAAAAAAGGTGTCAGTTTTGTTGCCAGATAAAAGGGTAAAAAAACAATTCACAACATTAAAATCGTTAAGTAACATCAGTGGCCTTGGACAGAATACATCCCGAGATGGCAAAAAAACAATCTCTGGAGACCGGGAGATCGATGATCGATGTTCAATCGCCAGGTTGATGCCATTCATCATGATTTCTCACTTCACAGAGTGGGCCACATGAAGGCTGAAAACTTCCATTCCAAAATTTTGTAACCAGCACCGATCATTATTTCTGAAATGCACAGTTACGAGCGGAATCTCCGCTTTGCAAGTTGCTAGTAAAATTTACCTACACAGTGGCGGAGGTTGAAAGTGTAAAATTTTATGACAAAATCTGGCTCTGGTATGGAAACTAGCCCGACTGACAATCACCCCTGGTGAATTGTTACATCTGCCGTGTATATTCGCCAAGTCTACAATTTTGTATATTTTCACAGTTGTGCTGTATACCACGTGTTGTTTGGCAACTAGCAGGATTGGTGATGCAAAGCATAGTACTGTACGTACAATGATATATTTTTTCGCTCAGTGGCACAGGTTGAGTTATTGTGTAAAATAAAAAGCCCCAGGAAATAAACAAGCCATGTTGGATGTCTGCCGCGCAGTGAGGCATTTCACTCAAGTGACTTCCACAGGAGATATATAACCCACGTAAAGTTGTACCGCATGTTGTTCGGCACGTGATGGTCTACATTTCGCTCCACCTTGCTGGGAGCTTCTTGAGTTTCTGCCCAATGTTTTTCTCCAACTTTTCACTCCAACTTTTCACTCCAATGTCTTGCTCCACATGTCGAGCTCTCAGCAACTGCCCTGACGAAGCTCTTAGTAAGTGGTGCAAAAAATACATAGGGCATCATTCCAAATAAATTGGAGAGTAAAACCCAACATCACATTGAAAAGCTGTTTGTGAGGTCTGTTGATGAACCTATACAAAACCGCTGGTCCTTGGTGCAGATATATGCTATGGAAGTTTGGCTCACCAAATGAGGCATGAATGTAAACCATTTCCTTGATGCAAATCCGTCATGATGAGCCAACTCTGTTAAAATATTGCCTGATGTGGTTTATATATCTGCTGTGGAAGCAACTTGACTAAACTGCCTCACTGTAAGGCATACAACTAACGTGGGCTGGTTATTTTCCTGGGGCTTTCTATTGCACACAATAACTCAATCTGTGCCACTCAGCAATGTATATCATTGCACGATGCTTTGCATCATCAGGCGTGCTAGTTCAATCCTGTGTAATACCACTTCACTCCCGACTGTTAAATTAGCAGATTTTCCCACTTCAGCTGCTCTTATGATCTGAATGGTCTCAGTGCCCTCCAAACTGTGTTGATGATGTGGCAGTCGCCTGGCTCGGCAAGGCGAGCATCAGATACGAATAATGATATAAATAATTAGCCAGAGGAAAGTAGGCCACCATAAGAGTGAGAATGATAATAAGCGATGGATGATCGTGAATACGCTCATCCATAAAGACTGCTTCTGGGCATAGAGGGATATCATTAAATAATTAAGGTTTACTGAAATTATTAAATGGACTATATCAATTGATTGCTGAATCATTTAAATTGCGGACCCTTTTAATCCACAACTAGATGACGGCCTTCCCACACCATGTCAGTTGCAGGGGTCGTTTGCATCAGATATCACTTCACTCATGTTAGTCCATGGTGAGCAACTGAACTCAGGAGACAGGTTCATAGCGAAACTCATGCGCCATTTCGCTACTGTTCCTTTAATACTCTCTAGGTTTGCTCACCAGCTGTGATGTGAAGCTCAAATGGTCATTGTGGTGTTCATCAATGCGGTGCCATCGTATTTTGCAATGAATGACGTAAACTCTATGGGGATTTGGAAAAAGGCACCTAAATAGACTATTTGCATTGGATGGAATTCCATCAAGTCAATATCGCACTTGCAATGAACCCCATAGATGCATCCGGCACGTTTCTTGACCGAGCACAAAAGGTTTGCACTAGAGTCGGTCTTTTGAAGCGGACTTGTGGCCAGCACACTTTGGTGTCAGAAATACTGACACTGACATAAATACAGGCTCTCTTCTGTGGCTGCACCTCCCATTTATCCGATCATTGTGTTACGTGCATTACTCATCAATGAGTGCTTTTGGTTGCTTGCGCTCCAGTCAGTCCACGTGGCAGAACATGGCATGTGAATGGCGTGTGCCAATTGCCTCTGCAAGAGCTGTTAGAACACAATAGTTCTAAATGCCAATTTAATCTGCATTGATTCAAAGCTGCACACCTATATTCTCCAATATACAACCAATCATTGATTCAAACTTTTAAGTGCAATGCAATATGTTCCTAAATGTTTTATGTGTATGAAAACGCTTTATTTAACTGGAGGTCATGTAATAATTCAGGCTGGTAGATGCCATTTGGCCCATAATCGACTCTTGTGGGTTTACTTAGCCTGACTTGATTGCGCAATTTGTGTTGATGCATCACTACACTGATTGTGAATAAGGTTCATTATAAGTGCAGGTTTTTAACGTTGTAGACTGATGACACCATTCTGTACCCAATTGTCCTGTACGTAACCTGTGTGTGTGTGTTCCATACCTGTCGACCCATACGGTTTACCCATATTCTTGTACAGAGAAGTCCATACGGCATACAGCCATTTCAATACGGGAAAAAAAACTAATTTGTTTGTGTTTCTCCCTTGTCATGAGACTTTGTACGATGAGCGTTGAGATATATAAGGGCACGGGGTGACCAATAAGGTCTGAATTGTTCTGTAATAAGGTAGCGCACTGATAAGGGGTTGACGGGTATGGTGTTCATTCCATTGCAGTGATCCTCTGCAGCTCCAGCAGCTGCACAATCAGGTACTGTTGGAGCAACAGGAAGCTTTCCTCCTCTCGCACCATCAACAGATGCCATTTCCACCTCCACCGGCAGCTTTCCTGCAGTCCCCGACTACGCCGAGCCAACCTCCTGTAGCAGAGACAGCGGTGCCACCGCCGCCGCCGCCACCACCGCCGCCACCAGCCCCACCAGCGCCACCGGCGACCACGACGGCAAGCATGAGCCTCGCCAACTCGGCGGCACTGCCGCTCAACCAGCAGCCCAGCCGTGCTTCGGTGGGCCAGCAGTCCTTCAGTTACGCCAGGCCCAAGCAGTTTATCGCTGCCCAGAATTTGACCAGCACCATCATATCCGCGGGGTCTCCTTCTTCATCTCCTGTCCCGACCAGCCTGGGCCTTTCCCTCCCAGCTCCACCGCCGCCGCAAACCGCTCCGCCGGCAAACAACACTTACCGGATGGCTTCCCCGACATTGTCGTCACCGACATTCCTGAACAACAGCAACGCGAAAACCGCAGCGGCCTACTCCCCTCCCATAGCCATGTCGCCGCCGCCCCAGTTCTCGGCAGCCAGCCCCACACCGCCCGCCACCTACCCGGGCTCCCCACACGCCCAGCCGGGACACACCTGGTCCTCCCTGCCGCAGTCTCCGCAGTCGCCTCCCACCGTCAGCCCGCCGGCCTCTTTCGTGCAGTCCCCGGCCGCCTTCCTGAGCGCACTGCTGCCGTCCCTGCCCTCCCTGCCACCGACCAACGCCATGGGCCTGCCGAGGGCGGCCCCATCCACGTAAGGCCGCACGCATCTCAAAGGGCCATTGTGTGAGCATGATGAATTGCTGCAATTATTGCGTAAAAATGCGAGTTGTTTGTCCATAATTGAATAATACTTACATTTTTAGGCGTTTTTCTCTCGCTTGCTTGTTAAACGTTTCCGCTCCATCTGGAGCGCTGTTGTTATTACTGGCCGGGACGCATTTGCATGTAAACTTAACGTGAAATATTTGAAATGCTGTGGTTGCCATGGTAAGGTGTACAGGGAATCTCATCTAGCTTTCCTGCACGGCATGTTTAAGGGCACCTTTAAACGTCAGGTGAAGTACCTTTAAGTTGTAGCAATAGCTAACCCAGTTTGTTGACACACTAAGAGTGTTAAAACACTTTAAATTAAAACAGTGGAGGATAATGAAATAATTAGGTGACTGCTTCTGATTTAACCACTTTGGAGATTTCAAGCATGTCATGTTGGCCGGTGGCCATTTAACATCGCCCCAACTAATATAAATTGCCTCTCAATTCTTGGCTTCATTTGATGACCCTTAGCCAAGTGATTATTGCAGCCCAAGTGGCCCTGGTGCCTCACTGTAACATTCTCCATCACGTTGAGACAGGCAGATGCAGGGCTCGCTCAAGAGGCAGAGCAGGGGCCCGCGCTCCGTCAGCGAAGATGACATCCGCGACACGAAGGATGCCCTCATCCAGGACCTGGAGAAGAAGCTGCGGTTCAAGGAGGACATATTGCACAATGGGCAGTCGGTAAGATTGTCGCAGTCATCCCGGCTCAACTCATAAAGGGGGATAATTGCACATGAGATGTATAGCAGTCGATCAGTAGGGGATTCGTAACATGGCAAGCTATAGGTAAGGTACAAGTTGAGTCCTGCAATTGCTCACCACTGTTGGTGAAAGGAAATCCACTCCAAAAGTTTCTCCAAGAGCTCTTCTACAGGGAATTTGGCCTACTCTTCTATGTTGTTCAGACATCTCAGACGAGGTGGGAGTAACCACACTTTACACCACAACCACCACACACGACCTGCTGGTCAATGAACACTGGAAGCTGTGCACAATATAATTCTGGTTTAACTTGTGAATTGCTCTGTTAAGGTTCAGCAGATGTGTGTAGTTTCAACACGATAATGTATTTCTCAAGCTGTATTTAATGGGTATATTCATGAATCACTACATTGCATCAGTTGTTGTTTCTGTGAAACCCATGAATTATAATGCTTCTTTCTGTATGTTTACCACTGCGTATCAAAAAGTTGGGCTACATTCATATTGACAAATTCCTCAGTCCACAAATTAAACTCAGGACATCAAGCTTCTGAGATATAAGCTGTTGGCATACCTATGTGGCCACAAAAACCCAGTTGGGGAAAGGTTATGGGAATTTCCTACTGCTTTGCTGTTGAAAATAAATTATACTTAATACTTTGCAACCTAAAATAACGACGATTGTCCTCTGGCATGAGTCTCGAGGGATGTTTTATACTTGGAGCCTATCAGTCACGAGTCTCTGGAGAAGTCATGCTGCCAGCCGCTGATAATACAAATGCAGGCCAAAAATACACCTGCAGAAACTGGCACATTTACCGATGCAGTGCATAGCAATGGTGCATTACTAATTTACAAAGGGAAATATCTGTCCCACATAGTTCACGGGGATGTTTACAAAACAATCTCTGTGTGGAATGTGCATTCGTTGGAGGTGTTTTTTTTATGTTAAGTTAGATAATATTATGGATTGTTTTAAAGATGGCAGTCATGGGCTGGATTTTAAGACACATCCTTGCCTTCTCTTAGAGTCAGAATTATTACGTTGTAATTATTACTCATTTAAATAACGTTAGATTAGTTAATCCATATTATGTTACACCTTCATCATTTCTTCAAATGATCTGCCTGTCAATGGAGAAGCAATGCGGTGACTGAAAAGCATATTCCGGGTCTTGGTGTTGAGTTGCTTCTTAATTTGAAGCTGGTGACAAATTGGCACTTTAAGTGGTCATCAGTGATAAAAAAAAAACTACATACAATCTGCAATGAATGTAAGGAATGGACTGCAATTACCCACGCACACTCATTTCTTCGTAATTTACTCCTGTGAGTACACTTTGGTAATGTTACAGTCTCCCCGAGGCTGGTGCCCCAGCTCAATGTTCAAGTGTGCGGCCAGGAAGGCTTCCGTAACTGAGGGAGCTTTACCTCAATCAATCCGTGCAGTCACGAAAGCTTTAAATCGAAATAAAACTCAATCAATTATCACTGAGATTTCCGTTCCAGCACAAGCCAAAATGTAAAAGCAAATGTTTACGTACTTCCTTCATTAGAATCATCATCATTAGAATAATGCATGATCTTTCCACTGCTGGATGAAAGCCCCCTCAAGCCATCATCATCTAAGCAGCGATCCATCTCGATCTTGCACACGAGCTAATTTAACGACTTCATCTCTACGGTGGATGTCTTCTTCCACGTGCTCTCTTCGTTTGACTGCCATGCCATTGTTATAGGCTTGGCCACTGGCTACTATCCCTTTTGGAGACCTTTTCTTGCCAAATGACAAAATGTTTGCCTTTAACACCGTGAAAGGCCAGTTAAGCAGGCGTGTGTGTGCGATATGCAATAATTTGACATCGGACAAAAGCTACAATTATAATTTTTATAATTGAAATTTGATGGGATAAAGTGTTATCTAACATTATTTATGTAATAGTTATATTCTAAATATAATGTACTGTTCTTATTCACATTCGATATTTACATTGATGCTTTAGGGATTTATTTGATCCATCAATGATATTATCTGCATAAACAGTGCAAATTATTACTTGTGGTACAAGTGGGACTTTGCTAATGATGCATTTTCTCATGAAGTATTGCTTCTTTAAACCAATAGCGTCTCCTAACCTTGTTCTATCCCTAAAAAGAATAATATAAACAGATAGCTGCATATTAAAATGTTTTACATGAGATAAAAAAATATATAATTTCTCCAACTGGTTTCAACTTGGAAATGTTTAAGAAATAATTTTTTATATACTAAGGGTTGTCACAAATTGCAGTCCGTGACTACCTTTTATTCTTAGCTTTTCAACTCTGCCATAGACTGAGATTACAGCAGCTTACACCACTCTTGCAAACGAGACTGTCCTGGTCTCTTGAGTTCTCATCTGGTTCAACAAATTAAACTTCAGCAACTCTTGTAACTAAAGCTCAACACGTTTGTCAATAGATAACCAAAATAATATATCAAGAAATAATTGATTCAATTTTGTACTTAAAGCAGTAATTTAAAGCTATACTTTATTCTTTACACTGTCAAGTTTTTTTTTATATTAATTTGCGGTTTTAGAATTATGGACGATAGCAATGGTCATGTCCAATTTACTGGGAAAGACTGAATGCTACACATGTATACGCAGGATGTGTCAGATCATTTGTAACAGTCCACATTTGCTTTACTTACTAATAATCGCCACGTGTTTTCACTTGGGAGTTCAGATTGTGGGTGATTTTGAGGAATTAACATAGTACCTTTTCTGACTTTTTTGTAAGGAGTGTGTAAAACAAATGAGATTTTAATAGTGCACAGTAATTGCTCTCATTTGTAAGAGTGATCTCAAATACAAGCACAACAACAAATGAAGGAGAAATCGGAGGGGATAAAACAACCAAGTAGAAATCAGAGGGAAAAAAATCATATTACAGAAGAAATCTAAAATACTGTTTGCTTGACAGAGGGTTGTAACAAACAATATATTTCTTTTTTACAATTATTTGCGAAATCTAATTTAAAACAATGTGCTCCTTTTATATTTTCTATATCAGCTGTGGTCCATGATATGTCACTTTTGTGTGTGTGTTTTTTTTTATGTGATCCCACTGTAAGAAAGATTCCCACGATATATTTTAAGATGGGAGTGTTTTCTGATGTAAATTATAGCTTTTTCTTATATGGGAAAAATATATGTACTCAGAATATATGTACTCAGAATTGTTTTTTTGTTGGAAGCGCAGTAGATGTTTGGATTATTACATCAAAGGATCATGCCAGATGGAAATAGCCTGGAGAGGAACTTATCAAGCAGTGGCTGATGGTGATGAAGATGTTTGAATAGCTGAACACTCAATAGGTTCATCTTCTTGGTTTTTTCAGGTAAAGTCACGTAGAAGGGAAGTAATAAAATAATTAAAATATAACATAATAAAATCATTCTCACGACGTTTCGGCTACAACGCAAGCAGCCGTCTTCAGGTGAAGAATGAGACACTGCCAAGCTAGGAGCTTATATATAAGCTGGGTTGGAGGTGGAAGAAGAGCGCCTTAACAAAAGAATGTGCATATCAAGAGGAATTTAGCATATTCATGGTAAAATGCGTAGGAGGTGGGTGGGGGGGGTTTAAAGTCATATTATGCCCATGCATTATGCAGGATCAGCAGCACCAAAGGGAGGGGGCAGGGGGTAGCATTAACAAAGGGAGGGAATGTTAATAGTTTGTAGAAGCAATGAAACATATGAATGGGAGAGGTTCAATCATATAAACAAGTCTGCATCTAACCCGTATGAAACTACTACACAACACCGATCAACCTACCTCAAGTAGGACTAGCTCCCTTCATGTCGTGTGACCTGCTACGCTTATCCAAGTAGTGAGCACTCTTTGGCTGATTGCACGTTGTCATGCGGCTTGCCAGGTGACGAGAAAGCTTGCTTTCCTGTGAACACCCCATCTGCTGAATAAAAGCTTGAATTCAATGGCCATCTATGATGTGCATCGAAAAATGTGACACATGCCTCATGGAAACAACAGCCCGTTTTCAAGTGTGTCTGACCTACTTCCCCCCCCCCACCCCCCTCTCTTCAGCACTGACACTGTGATTTGTTGCCGATCACTGGCTGTCCCCGTCAGCTTTCAAGCATGGGGCGCCAAGCTGTCCTCCTAACGCTTGCCATGCTCCTCGCCTTCTTCATCCTCCCCACCTCCTCCACGCATCCCCCGTTTGTCAGAGGCTGACGTATGAGGAAAAGATGGCTCGCAGGCTTCTTGGACCAAACAGCACCGCTGTTGTTTTTCAAGCCGACGAGCCCGAAGAGCATGATGCCGAGGCGCAGGTACAAAATCTGGATTCTCTTTTTTTTTTCTACGAGGTGCAGTCATGCAAGCTTTGAAATGGGAGATGCTCGTCGTTTTACAACCGCCGTCATTATTTACCGCAACCCATTTTGACACGCCCGTCATCCAAATTGAAAAGGTCTGTCAACGATGGGAATCCCAATATTGAAAGCGGTGTTATGAGTCTGTAACTTTTAATATCTCATTTTCAGAGCTTTGTGACCACCCCTATTTTTTTCTATATATAAGTAATTAAAGCGATATTTCAACAACAGAGGTAGATCCAAAATCTCGCAACAGAGCACAGGTGAATGCATGCCCGTGTCTTAATCTTGAACTGAAAACATCTTTTTAAAAAACATAAAGCAGGACCCTCCTGAAAAAAGAGGCCTTGAACTTAGTGTGTCTTCCCTCAATGAAGAAGTGATAACAATGATTAAGTGACCTACATTTATCATTTGCTCAGGATTAAGCAGCAGGGCATTCATCCACCTATGCCACAGAGTCGTTTTATTTTTCTTTGTTAAAAAAAAGTTTGTCCAAACTAAATATTCTGAATGCCTTTCTAAGAAATACCTGAAACTCTACGATCATCATTTTGAGTATTGTGAATTTCAGATGTAAACTAGAGCCATTTTTATACTTCTAATTTTAGGGACAAATTATGGTTGTCTTACCCATTAACTGAAACTGTTTCATTGATTCCAGGTTTTCTGCATCATTCGCTTGTTGCTTGAGTGATTTGTTTATGGAGATTATTTGGTTGGTCAAGACCATGCACAGCTCACTGAATTCATCGCTTTTGTTAAAACATCTCCCAGTTCCTGATTGCACACCATTTTTCATTATTCCACTCAAGACAATTTTTATCAACTATATTTATTCGCCGGTAGTTTTTGCCTTCAGCCGTATCCTGGTAACTTTTCTTATATATTTTCAAACAAACGCACGGGCGTCACTCCCAACAACCAAAATGATTGCGCACGTGCCACCCACCAAGACAGCCGCTCATCCTCATCAGACCTGGGTTCGCATCCGCTCCCAAGCAGCACAGACGTGTTTTCTATTCGGCACTGACATGCCAGCCACCGTGCCTGCCATTAACCCTGTGCCCCCTCCCCGGTTTCGTTTGGTGCTGTGCAGCTGTGTGACTCGTCTCACCATTTTGTTTTTTCCCCCCTCGTCCTCGCAGGACTTTAAGTCTGTGATACAGGCAGCCCGGGAGTCTCTTGGTAAACAACAGGTTAAAGGAACTTACTGTTTACCATTTTACTTCCATTCAAAATACTCTATGCTGGCTTGTAGATGAGAGACCTCTCTCTTGGGCCCATAGATTGTGCACCTAACGCAATGTCAAGACGAATGTACATGGGAGCACTTTGAAACACTGAGTAAACCAGCTGCAGAGCATTCTACTACCATTGGCAGGTCATGTACAGGGAAGCAACATTAAAGCTGTTTTTATTTCTCCAACGCCAGTTCGCCTTACAAAAATTATAACGAGTGCCACCAGACTAACCACATGATGTGTTATCGCAAGATAACTGTAAATAATGCTCACATTTAGCACTGGCAGAAAACATCAGTGCAGTGATACTGATTAGTGCACTAAATCTGTATCCTGCAGGAGTTTTGTTGTAAAGTTAAATGACGACTTTTCAGGATTCGAACTGCGGTCGCTGTTGAATTTGACCCTTCACACCGCAAATCTACTGGGCCCAAATGCTATCGGTATTCCTTAAGGAGTCCAGGAATTTGAGCTTGTGCATGGTCCAGCAAAGCAGATGACGCCTGCTTTCCTGGTTTAACCCTGTTTTTGCGTGCTGCTGCATGCTGCATGAAAGAGGAGGCCCGATACGTTCCCAAGGATTGTTATTAACGTGTCCAAAATTAAATGAAGCAAAAATAATATCATTAAAACTGCATCGTAAATGGACACATAGAAATTATGGATCTTTCTAATTCTTGGCCTATAGGCCTTTGCTTAAAGACTGGACATGTTTAAAATGCCTGTTGTAAATATATTGCCAAACTTGTATATTTGATCCTTATGGCGGTACCCCGGGATACCAAATAATACAAAATGGCCAAGGCAATGAAATATTTTATTTCTGGGACACTATGTTTTCCAGGGGTGTACTTCACTCCGCGACTGGGGTACCAATCAATCCGAAATCAGTGCTACTCCGTGATGTCGAAACGCAGCGAGGACCATTGCGCTGAAACCCTGAACGCTCGTACGCACAACAGTGCATTGTGTACAGCTCGTCGAGATGAGTCGATTGCCGCATCGCCGACCATCGATAGACTAAAAGTGACTGCATCACGGACATTATGCGAGAGCCGGGGTACTATGGTACCCTGGGGATACCGCCATAAGGTTCATTTATTCCTAAGCATACATTTAACTTACTGTATTTTTCTAACTTTAAAGAAGCGCTGACTTGGCAACTGAAAATGCTTACGCAGTACTTTTAACAAAATTTACCTCAATTGCAGTATTTTTTACGTTATGCATTCTGGCAGCATGCTCACGCAAGACTTTGGATATTAGACTCCTCAATGTATTATACATAACTTCATATTTTTTCATATATATGACGATATGTGTAATTGTATTTCTGCATCCTGCTTCAATATATATGTATCTTTTGTTATACTTTCTCTTCGTTTTCCCGAATTTAACATTGCACACAAAACACAATGAAACGACATCGTTTTAAATGATACACCTTTTCAGCTCAGGCTGGGTTTTCTAATGAATTAATTTTTCATTTCGTTTTACCTCATTAATTTTGTCTTCGCATTGTTGGAAAGGTCACATTCAGACCATGGCCATTTGAGTAATGAATACAAGTGGAGAGCATCTTTTACATCCACTCTTTATCTCTCTTAATCTTCTGGAGGTCTCAGATTTTCCAAGCCACCTACCCAAGCCACCTCCATCATGTGGAATGTGCAGAGGTTACACAATGGCCATTGAGGTCCCATGTGTCAATGCTTCTTAATATCTCTTTGTTTCTCTCCTGCTCCTGTGCCCACTCTCCATCTGCCCAAACAAATTAAACTAAACAATCTCAAACATGAAGTATGTATACACTATGGTGCTTTCGGTAAAGTCACGTAGATAGAAAAATAATAAAATAAAATAAAACACGACGTTTTGGTCGTAACACAAGCGTCCGTCTTCAGGCTGTATATAAAGCCACAACAGCAGATCATTTTTTCACACCTGAAGACGGATGCTTGTGTTGCGACCGAAACGTCGTGTTTTATTTTATTTTATTATTTTTTCTATCTACGTGACTTTACCAAAATAACCAAATAGTATGGATTCCTGCAGTCACGAAAGCTTAAAATCAAGATCAAGTATTTAGTGAGGCATGCTCTCATTGGTCCATTCTGACCCACGTTCCAGTGAGCTTTCGCAGTCTCTTTGAGGCTCTTGCGACCAATGTTATGATTCACAATTGATTTTCGAGTCACCTCACCGCATCGAGAAATACAATGTGTCATACACCCTCTTCCACCTGATGCAAGCAAATGAATTAAGTGGTCACGTGAACACACAACACCAATGTATTATTACTTCGGGTGCACTGGTGTGTTGGAGAGCAATTTCACAACAGGCAAAAAAAAATTGGCACATTTTTCACGTGACAACGTTATTTATTTGGCTGAGTCGGGTGGATGAGGGTGTACCACACACGTTGCCATTTTACTAGAGCGGCGATATGACCAAAACATTTTCTTCTTTTGACTTACTTTTTTGTTCTTTCGGTAAAGTCACGTAGAAAGAAAATAAATTAAATAATACAATTATTTTGTTTAATCTCGTAATTTCCGACTTCTGTTTCCAATGTTTCCACCTTTTTTAAATTCATCTTATTATGAATTAAAATTTTGTTCTATTTCTCTTCATCCTTTCTTTCTGCTATGGATACTCGTTTTTTTATTGTGGTTATATGTTCATAATTTCAAAGGCAGGTGTTGTGTTGGAAAAAAAAGGGACTTTCCTTTGCATCAGCTTCTGGTATCTGGATCCGTATTGTTTTCATTCTCAGCCTCTTCCACTGTGGCACAGTGAGGGCCAGCCAACAAGTATAACCCGTAAAAACAAAGTTTTTCACTATAAATCCTTTATATGCGTGGCGGCTAGAGTCCTCTCGTCCTCTGGCTTGAGATGGCTGCCACCTATGGATCAGATGATTGCATGGCAGCATTAAGCAATTGGTAATTAAATATAATATTTTTTCCTAAAAAGTGTAAAATTTTGGAAAAAAAATTTCACGAAAATAAATTGTCACGCACAACGAGTCTGTGTGGAAAATGTCAGCTCGATTGGATCACGGGAAGTGGGTTAAAAAACGACCGAAAGATTTGCACGGTCCTAAGCAAGCAAGCGAACTTAATATAAAGGATTTAAAAATAGATATTACCTCCTCTCTTATCCAGTTTTAACTGCTATTTTTATTTTCTTTCAAATGCTTCTTATATAAGCATAATCAGGATAATGGTTGACAAATGTTCGAATTTATGTCTTGCCACACTGCATAAATTAGAGACATTCTTAAAATGACGTTTATTTAATTTTGCCACATTTTAAAAGGACACTTGGTTTTTATATTTCTGTGCAGAGTAGGCACATTATAAAATTATTTACTACGTGCATTCACTATAAAATGAATGAAAGTTGAAGCACCATATTCTGACAATGTGAAAACCTTTGGTCAGAACACATTATTTTCCTATGCTTTTATGATATTTTCAATGTCTTCAGTTTGACTTCTTCTATAATTTTTAATATCTTTACCCCTTCACGCTCTGTATTGCTACATCTAATTTCTCAAGGCAGTTTTTATATTAAAACATTATCTCAACTTGTGTTGGTTCCTCCGTGTGTCTGTAACCCCTCAATGATTTTTTCTAATCTATATCTCTGCCTATGTCCATGGTTTCTTTCTAGTATCTGTGTGCATTTGTGACTCTGTGGGCCATGTACATTCTGTCCATGCTGGTGTCACGTTCCCTCTCCTCTGGGTTACGTACACATTTGTTTTTTGTCGTCCATGCGCCCCGCCGTGGATTGGTCGTCACCCGTGTGGCCCACCTTTGTCTCTGTCGCCACCTCCGCCCGCACCTCCCTCTATGGCCACACGCAGGAGTACAAAGTCTCGAGCTTTGAGCAAAGGTTGATGAGCGAGATCGAGTTCCGCCTGGAGCGGACTCCGGTGGAGGAATCCGATGACGAGGTCGAGCACGATGACATCCCCACGGGAAGGTGCATTGCTCCGATCTTCGAGCGCAAACTCAAGCACTTCAAGACCTTCGAGGGAAGCCCCATCACGTTCTCCTGCAAGGTCTCCGGCACCCCGACGCCAAAGGTACCGCCTACATCTTCCGGAACAATTCTCTCGTGCCGCATTCCTGCGCCCGCGCGGTTCACGAGCGGATGCGAGTGATCTCGGGCCGTTTTCCCGTGGAAGTCTTAACTGGCCAAGCCAGCTCCATTCAAGTACATGTCGCCCACTGTTATTGGGCCATTAAGCATTGGGACAAGAATTTGGCCTTGCCAGGCTGTACCAAGAATGGCCTGGCAAGGCTTGGGTCTGTTTTATAATGGCCATAGAAATGCAGCCTCATTTGGACCATGTGAAATATTTCACATACTAACTAAAACAATATTAACTTTAAAATATGGCCAGAAAAATCTGTTGAGTTGAAAATGTGGTTGTCCAAGTATGATTTCAGTGTTGTGAATTGTATCTTGGATCTTGTATTTCATTTGTTCTTGGTGTGCATGTTTAGCACGTGGAGCATCTGGAATTTACACAATGCTGGGATTCATAATGTGGAGACACAAATTATGAAAATTAGATTCATATATCAGAGTGCTAACCACTGTCCCACTGTTCCACCATCTTCAAGAGTAAACCCTTCCACACATATCTAAAAAAAATTTGTGTGAGATGCACAGTTGTAGATCTCAAGAGAAACAAGTACTGCAGCACATGTCCAAAACCCCTTGACAAATTTGATCTGTATTGAAAATTCCTGTTAAGGATCGAAACACAGAACTGTGTGTGTGTTGTTATGACAATATTATTGGCTGCAGACACTGGGATTTGTATTTCAAACATTTTATAACAGATATGTAGATGGATTTTTTTTCTCAAAGTAAGAAAAGCTTACATTTCCTGTCATACCTTTAAACATAAAAGATGCTTTATTACCACAACGATGATAAACTACAGCAATATATTACGCGCAGAAGTCAAAGCAAATGTTGTGATATTACCGTTCCCATGCCTAATAAAGGTGCATGCACACAATCTGTACTAGAACGGTGACATTAAAATACAAACGTGTGGAGACATTCTTCCTCACAGCCAGCTCCGAGGCACGACATATGCCAGCATTGAAAGAGCAGAGCCTCTATTTGACTTGAATGAATAGCACAACAGACCACAAAGAGGTTTCAGAGTGCTGTACAGTATAACAACACAGCGTTCAATAAAAGTCACAAAAACACAAACGTAACAAATAACACACGGTGCAATGTGTCAGCGACAAGCCATTCATGGTATTTTCATAATGCTCAATAATGCACGTCAATGACACACTATGATAATATTTGACTTTGAAAAACCAGGTCTCAGACCATTAAAATAACATTTCATTTCATTGTCATTTATGCTCATGGATGTATAGCAGCAACATTTGAGGTGCATCAAAAAACATTCCTATATACATTTTGGCTTAATAAGAAACATTTAATATTTGTTTACAAATTTTTATCGTGCAGTCTTAAGTTGCTCATATCATGTTGCAGACATTTTTACACTCCTCACAGGAGAGACAACGCCTGGAATATTATTTGCCTTACTAAGCAAGCATCTTATTTTTGCTCCAAAGCAGTCTCCAGTTTTATTCCACACAAGGAACTTAAATATTGGACTACTAAACAGAAATTGTAAGCTACCGATTCTCCAATCCTTGCATCATGTTTTATTAACGACAGTGGTTCAAGTTTGGCAATGCAAATATTAGCTCTTTGTTTGAATCGTCGTCATCATCATCACCAAAATTTCACAAATATTAGAGTACACTCAGTAAAGCTGAAAATAGCTGCGTTAAATGAATAAGAACAGGGAGGTTTTGTAGTATCGGGGCTGCCACTGAAAAAGTCCAATCAGTGTAGCCATGTAGATGAAACCTAGGCATTATAAAAAATACCCTATATTTTCTCAAATTGAATCTGCACTAGCTGGCCTCTAGCCTTTACTTAGGCCCCATGAGTGAAAGCTTTAAAGCCCGGTGATGTAGATTGAAATTTGGTTAACTCCTCAACCCCGGGACCATTGTGAGAACGATGGATTGCAGAATATTGTGCGAGTGTGCGAATGTGCTGTTCCACCGTTCCCTTTCGGCACGCAGATATACTGGTTCAAGGATGGGAATCAGATCTCCAAGAAATCCGAACGCTTCCAAATGCAGCGAGACTCTGAGGGAAACTGCTCCCTGCACATCCCTCTCACAACCATGGATGACGACGGCAACTACACCGTCATGGCTGGAAATCCACAGGTGTGAAGAGCGCACTGGACCCTCCCCATGTTCTCCAATTGAAACAATGATAACGATAATTTACTGAAATCCCCCCTCCCCTCCCCCAACTCTGTCCACCCAGCAGTTTAATGGAAATGTGTGCAACAGTCGGTTCGGCAGGTCGCGTATGGGCACTCCCACCTCTGCCAAGACGCCTGGTTATCGTGGAAGAGTAGGCCAAATTACCCTCTCTAGAGCTCCCACTAGTGGAGGTGAGAGCAAGAAATTGCAGGGCTGCCCCTTTAAATTTTTTGTTAATATGCAAATACATTAACTATATTTAATTGTACGATGTAAATACTTGTGTAGTGAATTCAGCAAGCCTCTCACGCTGGATGTGGCTCACTGCAGTGTGTGTATGAGGCATCTCACTATTCACTGCCCCCGCTCCCCCTAAAATAAGTCAATTATCGTAATTTGGGGTCACGGGTCGATTCAAGAATAAAATCATATTTGTATCATATTTCATTATCAGCATTGTTTCTTGATTCTGTTTCGTCATGTTTTTGTACAGTGTTATTCACCCAATTTTTCTAAACGTAAGATTCAGAATAACATTTACGTATATATTTTCGATTAATCGTAAATGATCATCGAATCACACATTTCAATGCGTTTATATGGAGGATATGAATATATTTTAGTCCATGAATTCAGGCAATCCTGCATGCCTGATATGTATAGAAATTTTAGCCATGACAGTTTAGATGGGCCTACATTCAGAGAGAAAAAAAAATACCTTTGTTTAACTTTTAAGATAATGCACGGAAATAAAATGAATATACATGGTTATCTATACTACACAATAACTATTACACTGGAGTGTATGCGGTCTATTTATTTATTTTGCATCAGAATTCTGTACTGCACCCTGTGTGGGACCGTGAGTGGGTATCAGAGAATGTGTAGAGTGTGTGCCACAATCAATCCATATTAGGTGCTCAACTGAATAGGTTTCAAATGAAACAACATCTGGACATGTTGTTCTATTCCCTGTATGTTTGCATATGAAGTACATATACAACTCTTGTGATCCTGTAAACAAATTGGAAATTCCACTCCCCTACTGGTAAAGCAAAGCAAAGCAGCAGACCAGAACTCATTTGAGTTCAACCAACCGCAAAGCCAACGCATCTCCCAGGAGGTGTCGCTTATATAGTTTACCTAGAGAAACTGCTTTCTAAATAAGCAGCCTAGCCTCAAGTGGCTTTGTTTTGTGATGGTGCTTAACATGCAATGCATGCTCCCATGGGTGAAAGCACAGCGGCTTAGGAGACTATGCAGGCACAATTATGCCTCTCATCGTCATCAGCAATCGTGATTTATCCACCGCAGGATGTAGGCCTCTCCAAGCCATTGTCAATCTGTCATGGTCTAGCGACACCGCCAATGTGTTTAGCCGTTGCACATGAGCTGTTTGTATTGCTCCATCTCCATAGCGGTTGTTCTCCTGGGTGTGTTCCCTTCTTTGGCTGCGACTCTCATTTGTCTCGGTCACCAGCCATGAACCCTTCTCGTGATGGTAACTGTGATATCTCTGGCTCGCATTTGTTCTCTGAACATTTGTTCACTTTTCTGTCTCTCATTATTATTCGTGCATGCATCTCTCTGTGCTCCTGTTTAGATGCCCACGTTTCTGATCCATGTCGTAGCACATCCTGCTTAAAGCTTTAACCAATACAGTTTCATTATTAAACTGTTTTTTTTAAGCAATGCAGCCTGCTTTGATCTGCTTCATTATTTCAGCATTTTAATCCTCGTGTACTTTGAATTACGAGACTTTTTCTGAAAATTGAACTGGAGAAATAAAAAAAATCATTAACATGAATGGAGAAAATATTAAGCGTCACAGATTTTATGATAGCATAGTCACTGTAATAACCTATAGAAACTACACGAAATTATGATTTTTTTTTACAAAGTCTACCTATATGTAAATGTTCATAAGAACACTGTGAATCGTAGATTGCATTCTAAATGACCTGTTTGAACGTTTAAATTCTTTGTAGAGTAATACGTATTGTTGCATCCTCTGCTTATCTCTTTAAACATCCTGCTCTGAATATGAAAATGTTCACATTGGAGGGGTTTTCCATTTCAATAAGTAACTGACGCCAAATTTATTTTAAATATATTTGAAGATAAATGTGCAGAGACTGCTTAATATTAAGCCCACACAGGAGGAATAACCATATTTAATCACAACGTGTCGCAAAATTTCCCTTTTTCAATGTTTATTTCCACACGACCATTCCCCCACCTAAGACAGACTAATTAATTACACAATACGGTAAAAAAAAGCAGAAATGTACACATGCAAAGATAAAGGTGCAGCCCTGCAATTGCTTACACACGCCACTTTTGACAACAGGGGTTCCACTAGAGGGAGCGCTATTGAGCCACTCAAGAGTGTGGTTCACCCATTCTTCCACACTGGAAATTTGTCTTGGAAGAAGCAGGGATAACCCTACACCTTACTCAACCATACACGACTTGCCAATCGACGAACCGTCGTGCACCCATTTATTCTGCTAGGAAAACAAAGGTGGGGGGGAATTGTAGGAGCTTAGAGATCTCTGGGTTGCATTGTTGTGAAGCGTGCAGCGCCGTGAAGCATTGCGGGTCATTAAAATAAACGGACGTCTGCTTGTCTCGCCACAGTATTTCTAAGCATAAACGTACACGTTCCGTGTTCAACGGTTTTGAGAGTGGTATAACAAGATGCGTGCTTTGTGATGTTTTATTCACTGAATCTTGAAGGTTTGTTTGTGCGCTTGTTCGTTTTTTGTTTGGCTCCGCAGGGTCGCATCAGCTGCTCAGGACGGTTGATGGTGCAAAACGTCAACCAGCGAGGCCGCGTGGCACGGAGTCAGTCAGGGCAGCCTGCGGCTAGAAGGTGCCACAACAGTAAAGGGCAACTAGTGCCGCTCCTGACATTCACTGTTGTTATTATTATGACATTTGAGTCTCACACTTTTTCAGGCGAGTCCCGCTAACTTTTCGCAATCGGGGGGTGAAAATTGCTGTCTTTCCCAATTCAAAATATTTACCAATATTTGTATTTTTATTTGGACCTTGATGCTGCCACACAGTGGCCTCCTCCTCGAATAATGTCTAGGGATCTTTAACATCCACTGTGAGGGACACATCCCTTGTATTAACCAGAGCAGCCTGCCAGATTCAAACCATGAGTCTCAGTCGCTACTACTGGGCCATGTCACTGCCCAACATGCAGCGTCATTGTATCCGTACTAATGATGCAGCAAATGTACATTTCCATGAGTACGTGACCTGCTCACACCGTGCAGGTCATGGGGGCCATACTTTACCACGCTGGTCAGTGAGGGTTGGTGAAAGCGCAGCAATGGATTTTGCCTCGCCATTCTCTGCTGACAACATAAGTGTCTGTGGGGCTGTGGTACAGTGATAATATTGCACGATAAAAATAACAGTAGAACAGCTGGGTGGTGTTATGCTTAGGGCTTGTAATTCGCAAATCAGTGTCACAGTGAATTATTGCTCAATTGGGCATTGAGCCCTGAGCCTGTGGTCAAATTTCCACATTCCTATGACAGGGGCGAGTCTTTCCATAGAACAACCACTGTTGACCTCCCTACAACCCCCATACGTTTAATGGGTTGAGTCAGCTGAGTGCAAGCCACTTGCCCTACTTCTGAGCCACCTGGCCAGATTCAACAACTCACAACTGGAATTCAAATCTCGGTCAGTGGACTACCCAGACCTTAATTTCCCCTGGTTCAATAGCATACGTATACCACTTTGTGGGAAGACAACAGTGATTTTCCTATACGGTGATGAAACCCTACAGTAGAAATGTGCAATTTCCATTCTTGGTCCAGGTTCATGAATGGAGATGAGCGCCACTCCCATGCTCATTTGCAGTGCCACGGCAGCGAGACATTAACTCTCTCGCCTGGTATAAAGGAGGTCGTGGGTTCAATCCGGACACTGACGCCTGTACATTTGGAGTTTGCATGTCCTCCCCGTGGTCGCGTTGATTTTTCTCTGGATCCTCCGGTTTTTCCCTCCACATTTTGTAATATTCGTTTAGAATATTTGGCTGATATAATTTTCCAACAGATAATAAGCCACATTGTTGGGCTATCATTTGTGGCCAGGTTGCTTCTGAAGAAGAGCTGTATAGCTCAGTGGGCCTTAACTGGTAACATTTAAAATAAAAGATTAGATTTGTTTATTTAATTATGGACACATTGACTTTTTAAAAACAATAATAATATTTCGATTTAAAGCTTTCGTGACTGCAGGGATTCATCTTCTTGGTTCTTTCGGTAAAGTCACGTAGAAGGAAAATAATAAAATAAAACATAATAAAATAATTCTCACGACGTTTCGGCTACAACGCAAGCAGCCGTCTTCAGGTGGAGAACAGGTCTGTCGAGAAGGCAGACTCTGCCTTCTCTTATTTTCCTTCTACGTGACTTTACCGAAAGAACCAAGAAGAATAATAACAATGTTGTGAAATGTATAGTTTACAATACATGTATAGCATTGCTTTACATATAATACCTCTATTCATGTTATATGCTCACACTCAATGCAACTGTCAGGTCACTGAATGCCTATCATGTTGCATACCTGCAGAATTGTTGGGTTATGCAGAGATTGACATGTGTGAAATTATCGTTTTGGGTGGCAGAGGAATTACTGCGTGGGACAGTGCTATTGTGTCGGTTGCTTGTGGGTTGTCGCATGGGTGACACCCTGATGATTCCCTTCTGTCACGTGAACAGCAGGCCACGCTCTCAGTCGCGGGAGAGCCGGGACGACAGTGATATGGTCCAGGAGAAGAACTTCCGCCCACACTTCTTGCAGGCTCCTGGAGACACCATGGCACATGAGGGCAAGCTTTGTCGTCTCGACTGTAAGGTAAGAGCTTTCCGGATGACTGCTTCTCTTTAATTCCATAGCAATGGCAAGAGCTCTTGAGCATGCAGCACGTTTTCATGCCCCATAAGAGTGCACCAGGCCAGACACTTAATGGCATTTACGTTCCATTGAACACTTGTTCATCTGATCGATATATGTTTTTGGTTTTAGACTACGTGGGAGTTATGCTAAAATTCTTGTCATTACCACTTCACCATTGGACAAGATTGTCAGATTTTCTAAGATATGATTTATACATGCTAATGTATTTGATACAATTTTCACCAATGAAGTGCACCAATGGCTAAAGACTTTTCACGACTGAATTTACCATCTACATACGAAGTTTTGTTCAAAACTGCTTTGATCTTCATCAGGTAGTGATCCCCGAATTCGAGTGATCCCGAAATTTGCCAAACTGCCACAGCATGGGTCATTTCCACTTTCCTTTGTAATTTGAGTCTGGCTGCTTTTAATATCTTAATTTTTTAAAGCATGTTTCTTCAAATAAGTCAATTTTTCAAAGGAATTCGTTGAAATAGTTGCCTGGTGTGCTTTATCTTGTCGGGTGGTGGAGGGTTAATAACAATAATTTTAGCACAATAACGATCATGTGGTCAAACACTAAAAAATTGGCTACAAAAACCTACAATTTAAGATGACATATTCATCTCATTACTCCACTCTGGCAAGCTTGCTTGTGACAAGAAACAATGTTTTGGTATTTAACTCAACCAGGTTGTCTGACATGAATTAATTGGTGTCTTCAGTAATGTCTGAAGGATGTTACAAACAACACCATCCCCCTGAAAATGGTTGTTGTGGACTAAACAATTACAAATGTCCTCGCATACAATTTGTCATCTGGGTTTGTGTTTCGTCAGTATAATAATCACAGACGACTTCACTAGAGAATACATCTAAGGCGTGGAATCTGTCATCCTATAAAATCTGTCCTAAAGATTAAAAGGTCATAAACCACTGACTCTGAAATATGTATTTCTGAGTTGAAGAATCACAAGTCTCTGCTTCGTGTATTCTACCCAGAGAGAGAAAGGTCCATAAACCTTAGCTGGTAAGGTCAGTCATGGCGTACGACCAAAACAACTCTGCAAAGTCAGAGCATAAAATTCTTCCTTGCTCCTGGCCCTGAGTTTGTGGTGGCAATATCACATTCCCATGGCCAGTATATTAATAGGATAACCATTGCTGACTTCCCACAAAGTGGCATTAATTTTAATAACCGCAGAGCGATGATGACTTCAGCTTCCGAGAGGGGATTTGGACTCGCAACTTTCTCACCATGCGTCGAGCTCCATAACTCGTACGAGCACCACCCAACTCGGATACATGCATACCAAGCGTTTCCTTCGTGTCACGGAGTTATCCATGTGATTGTATTTTATTCAAGTGTGGGCTTCCAGTTCGTGCCACGTGCTGAACATTCCTGCTCTTGCCAAGATGCCCGCACAACAGTGCATGGCAAAAGCTTGCGAGAAGAGGACTTCAACGTGCAGCCTGACCTGGAAGAGCAACACGTGGATCACGAGTCACCTATGAAAAACCCCACGTGCTAAATTTCTTGTTTCACGATTCACTTCCTGTTTAGGTGAGTGGTCTGCCAACCCCAGAGCTGGAATGGCAGGTGAACGGACGGCCAGTGCGACCCGATGCCACGCACAAGATGCTGGTGCGGGAGAACGGAGTTCACTCGCTCGTCATAGAGCCTCTGACCGTGCAGGACGGAGGCCTCTACACCTGCACGGCTACCAACCGCGCCGGCCAAAACTCCTTCTCCCTCAATCTCACCATCGTCGGTGAGAGGCACAGGCTGCGTTCCAGCCACATGCTGCTTGGCAGTCGCGGCAGTGCTGGACGGGGCTAGAAACAGCTGCTTAGGCACAAGCTGTCGTGTAGGCAATTGATGTATGTTTTGGTTTTCCTGTCCAAACTAGCCAATCTGGTCGGCTTGCGGGATGATTTATTTCAAGATGTGGACGTGCTGAGTTTCTCCTGTTCTTCAGAGTGTAAAAGTCAATGTTCACGCAAATAGATTCCCTTTAGAAAGTCGTGCACAGATCCACACCCCGATTTCACTTACATCTTGCGAAAATGCCACAAATGTACAGTATGTGAAATTTGAAGGTCACATAATTTGGAACAAAAATATCATTAAATTGATTTCGTGCTAATTGATAGCTATTTACTGGGTTAAACCCGAGTTGTACCTTCATACGTAGAATGTTGCCATAGTGGGCCCTTTTCCACTGAAACCCAAAGGATACTAACCTAAAATTATATCATTATTGAGGTTTAATAACTAAATGTTTCACTTTTCAAATAGATTGAAATTAAATACTGCACAGCAAATCCGATATACTATGCACATTTGTAGGCAAGTCAAATAACTTAAAGAGGAGATACGGTAATATATTTGGACTCATTTCTAAAAATATATATATTGTACATTTCACCGTTAATGTCATGATCACCATGAATGGTTTAGCTATTACTGAATGAACGTCTCCAAATTCCATAGTCATTTCTCAGCATCCTGTGACTCTACAATACATCTCACTCGTGCGGATGATGTGATGCCATCACTCCATCTGTGTGGTGGCCATTCTGTTGAGACACATCTCTCGTTTGGCTGCCACGTCCTCACTCGACTTGCGCATAAGCCATCATCTTTTTTTCCCTCAATCTGTCCAGCCCAAGCCCACTTACTTTCCTTGGCAAGTTAATATAACGCCTGTGAATTGCATTTATTCATTCATCCGCCTGCTCCTCTTGATGTCTCCCAGTGTCATTCTGAGCATGCATCTCCCTGTGCGTCTTGGTGCATTTACCAGCATTGACATGTTTCGTATTTTGATCCATCCATTACAGTTGATCATATTGACTGATTTAAAATCATCCTCTTCAGGGACATCAATATACTGCTTTCCATGATTGACTTCGGCTTCAACCGGTTTGATATTCTACATATGTAGTGCAAATATATTTACATGCCTACAATATAAATTCAAGATAATTTGGTCACAGACTGACCTCGGAAGCTAAGGCTGTATAATGCTGGAATGGGCGACCACCCAACCCTAACCCACATGGAACATTTTTCGATTTAAAGCTTTCGTGACTGCAGGGATTCATCTTCTTGGTTCTTTCGGTAAAGTCACGTAGAAGGGAAGTAATAAAATAATAAAAATAAAACATAATATTATATTATTTTATTATGTTTTATTTTTATTATTTTATTACTTCCCTTCTACGTGACTTTACTGAAAGAACCAAGAAGACACATGGAACATGTCGATCGACTGTGGTGTAGCCATTTATGCTGCTCGGTCGCTCTCCCACATGCCCTCGTGTTGGTCAAGGAGCACTAGAGCCCAAATATGAGGCAGTAAACTGAGGAAACGGCACACATGCGCATTCTGGCCTCCCCTGACACTGAGCCGACCGAGCCCGCTCACAGTGTACAGCGGCCGTGAGCCCCAGCACGACCTGCTCTCATGCTCACGTGCAACACTTTCCCAAAAACCTTCTTCCCCTGCCCACCTCACTCACTCGGCCTCTGCGTCCGCCGCCTCCTCCTCTGCCCGTCACCCCCCACCCACAGCCAAGCAGCTGACGCGGGCGCCGGTGATCCTGGAGAAGCTGCAGAACACGGGGGTCGCCGAGGGCCAGCCCGTTCGGCTCGAGTGCCGCGTGCACAGCATGCCGCCGCCCACCATCTTCTGGAAGAAGGAGAACGAGACCCTGATTCCGCACCGCGAAAGAACCAGGTGACCTGCCGGACTGTCCCCCCGATCCCACCTCTCCTCGTCTGCGGCGAGCGAGCGTTGTCGCGGCGCCTTCATGGTAGCGCGACTTGGGCCAGCGGCGGCGCGTTTTTGTCGCCTGTTTCGGGAGGTTCGCAGCCGGAGACTGGCGGCCACCCTGGTTGACACTGTGGGGCGTCGTTACCGGGAAATAGGCAGGGATGTTGCTGAGCATATAGTCAGTCGCAACAGAAATTATGTGAACGTTGAGCCTCAACAATGACCCCACTATTTATTTGCTTGTGACCAAATCACCCTGAATGAATCCGATCACATTGAATATTGGATGCCTAGCAAGGTTGTGTTTGGTTGGTACGTAAATGAGTGACCACCAGAGTTGTAAGTTTGTTATAGGTAGAAGCCGGTGAGGTGGCCACGTGATGGTGCTGTTGAGTGTTACTCCTCGTGTGCATGGAGGGTTGTCTCCAGGCAGTCAGCTTTCCTTACACTTTCATGCATGGCATTGGCCCAACATCCCAATACAGGACCCTTCTGAAAAAGGGTCTTGAGAATATATGAGCAAAGATTTCATGCATAAATAATTTCCATTGTGTGAGGAATATTAGTCATTTCAGTGTACTCCCAGACATGTTGTAACGGATAAAAACAAACTAACGTATGTAAAGCATGTCTTTATGAAAATCTGATGTGACTTGCTACATTTGGCAATTTAAAACTTGACGAAACACATTTTTTTTTCATCACACTTTTCTTCAAATAACAAAAAAACTATTGAGCCTTAAAATAACAATTGTGCAGAGCTATTTGGGTGTTTCAAGGTCAGTCTAGTTTTCAGAAACCTCTGAGAGCCAATATTCAAGCTCCACCTTATCTTCTGGTCTAAACACACGAGTAATTGAGTGCAACGGGTGATAATTAAATCCTTTATATTAAGTTCACTTGCTTGCGCGCTTACGACCGTGCAAATCTTTCGGTCGTTTTTTAACCCACTTCCCGTGATCCAATCGAGCTGACATTTTGCACACAGACTCGTTGTGCGTGACAATTCATTTTCGTGAAAAAAATTTTCCAAAATTTTACACTTTTTAGGAAAAATATATATATATTTAATTACCAATTGCTTAATGGTGGCAGGCAATCATCTGACCCATAGGTGGCAGCCATCTCAAGCCAGAGGACGAGAGGACTTTAGCCACCACGCATATAAAGGATTTATAGTGAAAAACTTTGATTTTACGGGTTAATTTTTTTTATATTAAAAAAAGCTCTGTGTGCCTGTGTGTGTACAGAATGCGCCATTGTAGTGGTTAGCGCACTGCGCTACGAACTTGGAAACCTGCATTTAATCCCTAGCCATGGCTGACATCAGTCGTGAATATTTAAACGGGATCTGGGCCTCCCCTATGTTGACTCAGCCTTTTTTGTTGCAGTGTGTAAACTTTGGCACCGAGGTGAGAAAAGTGGCCGGGCAATGTATCATGGCCATCCCAACCCCTCATCCACCGTGCCAGCCTTCATAAGTGCTTGCCAAGAAGCACCAGCCTCGACAGCCTGTACGGCTATATTTAGGATCTTTTTCTCATTCTTCTTGGTTCTTTCGGTAAAGTCACGTAGAATGGAAATAATAAAATAATAAAAATAAAACATAATAAAATAATTCTCACGACGTTTCGGCCACAACGCAAGCAGCCGTCCTCAGGTGGAGAGCAGGTCTGTCGAGTAGACAGAGTCTGAATGACACACTCCAGGCTTGGAGCGAATATTTAAGCTGGGATGGAGGGGGGAAGGGCGCTTAAATAGTAGCTCCAAGCCTGGAGTGTGTCATTCAGACTCTGTCTACTCGACAGACCTGCTCTCCACCTGAGGACGGCTGCTTGCATTGTGGCCGAAACGTCGTGAGAATTATTTTATTATGTTTTATTTTTATTCTTATATTATTTCCATTCTACGTGACTTTACCGAAAGAACCAAGAAGATGAATCCCTGCAGTCGCGAAAGAAGCTTTAAATCGAAATTTATAGGATCTTTTTGTATTTGCGCAGCATGCACCAGGATCCATCGGGCTACGTGTGCCTGATAATCCAGCCGACCAAAAAGGAAGATGCCGGCTGGTACACGGTCTCGGCGAAGAACAGCGTGGGCATCTCCTCCTGCACCGCTCGCCTTGACATTTACGGTACCCAGGCACCACGACACAGCCTGTGCACTTTGGAAGTTGGGGGTGTCCTACTTGTGTGTGAGTTGTATCGACTGTGTGTGTGTGTTGACCATGCTTGTCTGCTGACTGTGAATGTCTGTGTGCTGAATATGAGTGTGAATGTGCGTGTGTGCTGACGGGCGGAGTGGTAGTGTAGCGGTTTGCGCGCTGCGCTACAAACCCACTGACGATCATGGCCAACGTCATTGACGATTATCTAAATCAGTCCTGGTTGCTCTATTTTGAACAAAATTTTAATTTAACTATACGGCATAAAATATAATTATTTGGAATTCATTTATTTCTCTTATTTCAGTTTCTGTATACTGTTTTCTAATCGAGATTAATACGCGAGGCAGCATTTTGCATTGTGATTAGAATTCAACCCAATTAATCCTCGTAACACTATCAAACAAAATAGATTATCTGTTCTTCATGTATTATTGTTATGGATACAAATGCTTACAGTTGTAAACAACGATTGTCTTTATAATATGGGCGATATAACCTCAAGCTACTTTAGGATGCTTATGCAATTAATGTATTCATATTAAAAATATATATGTATTGTGTTGTGCATGTATGCATTAGTTTTACTCAAGTATATTGTTGCAAATGGATATTGCACAATTGATAGATGCCATTTCACTTATCCAATTTTCAGAAAATGTGCAAATAAATATTGACTTCCTCATCTAACCTGAGAATTTCAGTAATGCACTCCATCAAATTATTTTTGAAAGATTACTTTTTACGTTTATATTTGCATGAAGTTACGTAACTATGTAATTGAAAAGTCACGGTTGTAATGTAACGTCATCTCTGGCTATGATTTGTGCACTTGGCACTCACCCAGAAGGAACTGTTCCTGTCAGATGATTTATTACTTTTATGCTTCAAGTGGGAAGCATCAATTTTGTCAAGACATGGGAGGAAATTGTGCACGCCATTCCGACAGGCCAATAACTCCAAAAAAATAAATCTCTTGACAGTAAAGTGTGAACCTGATGTTTGTCTGGTTTTAAAACATTTCATATCTCATTTTATTTTCTTTGATGATGCCATGTTTTGTGACATCGCAGCTGAGTGGCACCACGAGATCCCAAAGACACGGCGAGTGAGGCCCTCCTCCAGCCGTTATGCGGCTCTCACTGACCAGGGCCTGGACGTGCGGTCAGCCTTCCTGCCAGACCCCAGCCACGCTGGAGCCCAGGGGAACCTGGTTGAAAGCGACGAGCTGTAATGGCTCTTGCACCACTGCCAGCAGATGAGCTCGGTCAGCTCATCTGCCCAGCGCACACCACTCAACCCGGCTGTTTGTCCGATCAACCATCGTGTCCCTTGCCCGTATGCACATACATGCCCTTGTTTGCCCATAATAACTCGTTGCTTTTGGGGCCGTGTCATCGATCTTAAGGTGAACTCCTCAAAAGGCATCTGCCACCAAGTTAATGAACGTTACGAATGACAATCGTGGTTGCAAATACGAAATTCGGTGTAAGTAAGATAATTGCATCATTGATGTTCTAAAAACAACTACGTTGATAATTTGCGTGTTTTCAAATGCATTATTACCTTGTAATATTTAATACGATACATTATAGTACAATAAATATTCAACTGTCACCTAAATAAACATCTGCAACCTTATGGCAACCAAATAAAATTAACAATTTATCATCTAACTATTTTATCATAAAGCATCCCAGGTTACTGCTTAATGTTGGGGAAATGTGTTAGAAGTGGAAAATCTTTTTTTATTTAGATTTTTCTCCATTTTGAATAAAAAAACAATAGATGAAAAATGTCTGTAATCATAAATGCATTATCTGTCACTTGCATTTTCGATCTGTCTTCATGCCCACAGAACCTTAACTCACGAATATTGAACACAAGGAAATAATTTAAACACTGAAACAACTAGAATATAAAGCTTAATTCAACAGTAGTTGCCCCATTTTTTACAGCTTTTCACAATTTAATGCTCGTCAATTGGACATTTTAAAAGAAAATATGTAAAAATTATCAGATATAATACCACATCCTCTTCATAAAATAATTATATGTATCAATAAATGACAAACAGCTGCAGCCTGGATGGCACAAATGCCATTCATATTGAGTAAATTTATAATTCACTAAGGGGTAGAGAATAGAGTATATTGTGTATGGAAGGCAATGCATAGTCGGGTAATGTTAAATAAGCTAGATATTAAAAAGTGTGGGCCAATTTTTACGTGCGACAATCAGTATTAAGAGGACAGGCTTAGAAGTGCCAGCGATGTTCTAAATTTATGTCGCGTGTGCACAAACAGTTTTGTTTTGAGCGAGGATAATCCATTATTTAAATTCATACATATTCTGAGTACTTAATTTGGTGTGTCCGTAGCAATGAAAATATTTTAAATCGTGGCAAGTAAAGACGTTTATAAGGCCATAAATCAACATTTTTTTTAAGTCAAATATTAGAACGAGGAATCGGCGTAGATCACAGCATACAGCACCTGGCACAGTGGGTTGGCCTTGTCTCTGGACTTCCAGACAAGGGGATGACTAAGGCCAGAAAATCAGAGAAAATAACAGTGAGATCGACCAGCGTATACATGACAAATTTACGTAGAGGAGTTTGTTTAAATGGTCACCTTCCAGAAACTGAGATTGGCTCCTCAAACTGATACATTGCAGTGTTTGCACTTAGGTTGTATTGAGCTCACACTCATGATGGTAAGGCTGCTGATGTACATGATGAAATAGTTTTACTGTTAGCCAGTGTAAAACAAAACATTATTACAGACACTGACAGCTACTTTAGGTGTTTTTATCTAAATCTAATTCTATGCCATGGCAAACAAAACTACGTTTCTAAAGGTTTGAAGCACCGGTCTTAATGCAGGTAAAAATGAACTTGCCAGCTGGTGGTTCGTTCTCATTTCTGGACACAGCGGTTGTGTCGACTCATGGGTCATATAAACGTACATTTTATAACCCTTGAGAAAAATAATTGCCATACTGGTAGACCATTGTAACTTTATACACCAAAGTGTGAATTATCTCAGGTTTGGGGCTAGTGATAAATTGGCTAAATAATTTACCAAATAATGAAAGCACACGTGTGTAATGCCAGTGGACATTCTCATATTCAAGTGAATGTCATAAAAATTCAGTATTTATCATGTGCCTGTTATAAAGCTCCGAAAATGTTTCAAATGCTATGTACAGCAGTAGGATGTAGAGAACATTAGGTAATGCAATATTAGATAAATTGGTAATTAAACCTTTTTAACATCATTTAAGATAACTTATTAAATTTACATTAGAATCAACTTAATGAAATAACTCTTTAGCAAATGTAAAAATATATAAAAAATAAAATGTCCAGTTTGTCGGATTTGCTTTTTACATTACATTTATTAAGAGTCTCTTCATTGTAATGTTCACGAAAGCAATGATAAATCACAAATATGACAACTCTAAATTGCATTGGTTTAATTTTGCATTCATTATTTTTACCTGTTTTCTTTTGTGCTTCACTCCAAAAATGAGCTACACACATCCAAATTCATACATTTGCAGGAATATTGCTATCCTTTACATGATTCCCATACCATGTCTGAACAAAGCACACACACGCTCACACTGACATGTACACATACATGTACACATACACACTTGCACGCATTCATGTGTTTATTTGTTTAGACTCGATACTCTTGTTCTGTGATGGACCCAACAGCATGGCTACGCTCCAATGGTGGGGAATACCACATGAGTCATTGCACATGTTATGAATTGTTCGGTGTCAATTGTGGCTGACTAATAGCAGCAATTGCATTGTGGCTCTTACACCCAAGTCACTCACTACACATACATTCATATTGTGAATTGATGACGGTACCTAGTGTTGCAATCTTGCAGTGTGTGTGTCTCAACATGACAAACCTTTCGAAAGAACGACTTGGCCTTGCTGTTGGATGAGACAACAGAGATCAGGTTTCCTGTGGGCAGAGATTTAGTTAGTAGTTGCATGTTGTATCATAATGTAATTAACGTTATTCATATTCACATACGTAAACACAGACCTGCTACTGACTGGCACTGGCTGTGCTCATGTTTTGTTGTGTGCAATCAAGTATCCTTTCTCCTTCTCGCACCTTCTTTAGATTTGGTTTAAGGATAGGATGCTAATTGTAGTGTGACCTTAATGGAAATAAAACATGCCTGCATGATTTTATTTACAATGTCTACACAATATACCATTGGAACTATTAAATTTATATCATTCTAAAGCACTCCTTTAGAATTTATTAAGACTTGCTTTGTTTGTCATTTGACCTTGAACCTTTTTTTTATGAGGGTGATGTTTTGTCCTAATCATTTTTAAGACCCTGTATAAAATGTGGAAATTCCTAAATGTACGTGGAACGCTCTAAATGAATTGCATCAGCATTGACCGACAACAACAAGGGGGGGGGGGGTGGCAAGCATTTGCAGGACACCTTTTTTTGTTTTTAGAAACGAAGGTTAAAGCACCCACAGATTGATTCACGCGGATGACTGGCGGGCCCTGTGAGGCTATGAGCCGCAGAAATACGCCGTGGCGCGATAGACACACTTTCGTATTTTAGTGATCGTTGCCAAAAAGTTGCGGGCGCCTTCACTGGTTTGAGTTGAACACCGACGGTGCGTTGCCGAAGGGGTCAGCACAACACGCGGCACAACATCATTACTTGGGATAGCGCATTTGCAGTTTTGTGGTAACACTAGCACTGCATTTGTAAGGATAACAAAAAAAAAACATTGGAACCTATCTCGGTTTAGCTTTAAGATGTTTTTTTTGTCCCTTGCAAGATATTAATATCGGTTTGACAGATAAGTGTGAATGAGTTGTCGCAGAAATGAAAATAAATGCGTAGAAAATTCGCAAGACACCATTTATCTGTGTAGTTCATTGGTTCCAGTGATTCATCCAATTGCTTTCACGTCATGTAAAAACGATATATAGAGTTAACATCTTAAAAAACAAACATTAAATCTATTTAAAGAACATACACTATACAGTATGTACTGTAGACCAAAGGGCAGTTTCAAAGTTTTTAGAATGAGATAGTTCACTAAAAAATATTAACCAACCGAGCATTAGGTTTGGTGTGAGGTTTTGTGTTTGTTTCTAATACACAGCAATATGATAGGCTCACAGAGGTTTGTTATAACTGTATTGATTGATTGATACAATTGTGTGTATGTATACTTTTCGTATTTCATTCTGAAAACTTGTTTTCACTGCCCCTTGCATCTATAACTATATCAAATAGTAAATTAATAATTAATAGGGACATTGTAGAGATACTGGAAGAGCAAGCCTGTTTCTGCATAAACATTCATTTTGAATGGTTCTGATTTTTTTGCGATGACTATACACAGGAAAACGCTCATGCATCTGCCACTGTTTTAATAGTTTACTGTAATATTGCAAAAATGTTTTATTTTACTGCATTTAAGAAACCTTTTCTCTGCTGTATAAAAAAAATAAAGTAAACAAAAACATTCAGACCTTTGTAATTTTGTCAATTAAAACATCATTGTGTTTTGAAATGTCATTTATTTGTAAACAATTTTGTAATGGCCACATATGACATTCGCATGTGATTAACAATGTGATTCAATGTCCTTTGTAATGATTTATTTTTTTAAACTAGCTTCATTACCTGAAGTGTGTTGACGTCGTGTATTCATTTGTGCTACAGAGATAACAATGGGAAATATTTGGCCAGGACTTGGCAAATGCCATGCTGTGTGAAACCGTCTGAGTTTATTTGCATGTAGATGTAATCAAACGTATAAATCACATGTCATGTACATGAGCCAATTTTTTTTGTATTTTAAAAATCCTACCTGCATTAGTGTTTTTGTTAAATGTTTTCAAAAGAACCATAATTAGATGACCTTATGAATAAGTACTCTAATTCATTTCTACAATGTTTTTCTCATTGAACCGAGCAGACAATACCATTGCTTCCCACGCATCCACAATTAAACATGCCCAAGGAGAGAGATGTTTAATTACGTACATCTATTATTGTTTCTTTCACCTGTGGGAAGAGAGCTGGAAATATTACACGTCTACGACAACACTCATAAATTATACCACTGCAACTTATATTGACTATAATATCTAACTTCTCGTGAATTAGATTTCATATTTCATTTTTCTCTTTCACCAAGCAGATGCACACATTTACTTTTCACATTTTATTTCTCTCTGTGATGAACATGTGTTGCACCTCTCTCTCCTTACGTGAAAATGTTTCGCTGGAATTTGTTTCTTAGTGTCCCAAGATTCCGAGTTCGGTGTTAAATCTGCTGAAAATATCCACGTCATATTATTGCCTGCCTCTCAAATGTCGCCTCACCAGTTTCACAGCAATGCCACGGGACATGCGTCGGCCGCCAGTGTCTGCTAAGGGTCGGGAAATGTCTCGTAGTGGAAGATGCAGAGGCAGTGTCTGTCGGAAGTTAGTCACGCCAAAGTGTCCATTGTATTCAGTAAAGGAACGGATTGTTTTCTTTTGTTTTTAAAAGCAATAAAGCCCTTCATCTACAAGTGTGTTGCTGCAAGAGCTCTTGTCATGCATTAACCACTGGCTCAACACACACTTTTAATTGTTAAATATTCATTCCAATACATATATCAAATCGAGGCATTTTTTAGTTCGTAAAATGTCGTTGATGGAGGTCAAGGTGTGATCAAAGAAAATGCCAGTATCTATATTACGTGTATTGGGCACACGTGCCTTTTGGATGCATATTCAAGCATGCAATAAAGCCAGCATGCATTTGTGGCTCATTGATCCGTCCTATGCTATTTGCTCCGGGCTAAGCCTGCAACAAAAGGTGGCATCATATGTTGGGAGCATGGATTTGATATCACTGTAACAATTTATTTGTTCCTGGGTAGTAAGTCTTATTTCCAAATTGCTTATGCCTCAAAAGTATAGAAAATGGTTATTATTCCCCTCAAACTTTGCTTTTGTAACCAGGACTGTGATATTGAGAAATTTACCTATTTTCCAAAACATTCCAGGTAGATTCAGTGCGGAGTAAACTGCGAGTAACTTCTAGAACATTCTATAACTTTCCAGTAATATAAATAGTATAAATACAGGGGCGTTAAGCCCACCAGTTCAGTTTAGTTCCAGCTGCCTAAGTGGATACATATCTGCATTTTTCTGAGATGGCATCGAGAGGCTGCAAGCATCCGGCATATGCATTTTGCCATGTCTGCGGCTAATTTACCAAGACAAGTACTCTGTGGAAGCGTCTGCTAAGATGTGTGAGGCCGACAATGAATATTTCGGCATGCCTGTCGGGGATCAAGACAAACCCTGGGCACCTCATTTCACCTGCGAGCAATGCAAAAAAAACTCTGAAAGGTAAGATGGACAATTGTTGCTCGGGATTTTATGTTATAAAATTTGTTACAAAATTTTAATTTGTAAAAGTTTTTAATTTTAAAATGTTTTACAATTTTCAATGTTATTGAAAAAATATATCACGTGAAAAATGTTGCGAGCATCGCTTACACGTAAAAAAAGACCTCAATGACTTGATCAGAGATCTTGGTCTCACCAATTCCAATGCGGAGCTTTTGACGTCTAGGCTCAAGCAGTGGAACTTGTTGGATGAAAGTGTGCATGTCGCAGATCAGAGGAAGCGTCACCAACCTTTTTGCAGCTTCTTCACTCGTAAAGACGGGCTCTGCTTCTGCCACAATGTGGCCAGTCTGTTCGAGGCAATAGGAATCGCCTGTAACCAGAATGAGTGGCGCATCTTCATTGACAGCTCATCCAGGAGCCTCAAAGCCGTGCTGCTTCATAATGGTAACAAGTACCTGTCTCTTCCCCTGGCTCACTCGGTGCACATCAAAGAGGATTACAACAGCATCAAGACCTTGCTGGACGCCTTGAAGTATAATGAGTATGGCTGGGAGGTCATTGGAGACTTCTAAATGGTGGCATTCCTGATGGGTCTCTAAGGCGGTTTTACAAAGTTTTCCTGCCATCTTTGCCTTTGGGACAGCAGGGACACCAAAGCGCACTACCACAGGCGGGACTGGCCACATTGGACCGAGTTTTCTGTGGGGAGGAACAACGTCAAGTGGGAGCCACTGGTGGACCCCCGGAAGGTGCTGATGCCACCACTGCACATCAAATTGGGCCTTATCAAACAATTTGTCAGAGCTGTAGATAAGGAGTCGGCAGCCTTCAAGTACCTTCAAGACTTCTTCCCTAAGCTGTCTGAGACAAAGGTCAAAGGTGGTGTCTTTGTCGGACCACAGATAAAGAAGATCCTGGAGTGCAATGAATCCCCCAAGAAGCTCACTAGTAAGCGGCTTGGAACAGCTTTGTTGCAGCGGTTCGTGGCTTCCTGGGCAATCACAAGGTCGAAAACTGTGGAGCTGATTGAGACTGGTGAAGAACTACGGCACAATGGGCTGTAGGATGTCCCTCAAAGTCCATATCCTTGATGCTCATCTTGATAAATTAAAGGAGAACATGGGAGGGTACTCGGAGGAGCAAGGCGAGCGCTTCCACTAAGATATACTGGACTTTGAACGCCGCTACCCAGGACAGTATCACGAGAACATGATGGGAGACTACATTTAGGGGCTGATTCGTGAAAGTGATTTTTACAGTATAATCCTAAATCTCGAATAACTACTCACTTCTAAATCTTTTGTAGTCATTTTTGTATCTTGTTTTTTTTTACTTTATGTGAACGAAAAGACACAAATTCGCTGGTTTTCTCATTGAAAATAGGTACATTTCAAAATTTCACTGTCCTGGTCATAAAAGCAAAGTTTGTGAGGAATATTAGCCATTTTCTATATTTTTTAGGCATAACCAATTACGAAATAACACTTACTGCCCAGGAAAAAAATGTGTGTTACATAGTGTTTTTAATACAAGTCACTGGAGAATAAAAATGTCACACTCCTGTTCCTGTGATTGCAGTGGGCATATTTCTCTTCATCCCAGACTGCTGCCATGCTACTGATCGCAGTGCTGAGGATAAGCATCCAGGAGAGCATTAGTTGAGTAAAAGAGCTTTAACTGTCTACAATCTTCAGAATTACATTCAATATTGTCATCAGCATCATTAGCCATTGTATATAGTTTGTGGCCAGGCTATCATTTGTGGTCAGGTCGCTTCTGAAAAAGATGCGTTTCTTGGGCCGTTTGGAATGCTTTTCCTTCTAATATTTGGATGCTACTGGAGCTATTTCTCGAGCCGACGACAAGTATGTGCAAATCGCACGTCTAAGTTTAAGTCTGTAAGCCATGCGATAGCTTCAGGAGTAACGGGCGTAGGATGCAGTTGTTCGCAATATGGCCCATTGTCTGGTTCAGGCGGCCGCAGTCACACTGTGGGTTGTCTTTAATTCTCCACTTGTGGAGGAGGTGTGCGCAGCGACCGGTTGATGGAGCACCGTAGATTTCTTGGCAGATCAATGCCGTGCATAGCAATCGTTGGGTCGTCGATGTGGCTTTTATTTGGAATGTCCACAGAACTCCACAGTGTTCGCTAGCGGTCTTCAATTGACCCCGCTTCATCCAATTGTCTCGCACGATCCCAGATTGGTTTCCGGGATTTCAAACGAGTTCATGGAAGGTCAAGCAGGTCTTGTTGTAATGGTAAATGTACACTGCCTCGGATTTTTTCCAATAGGTTTGCTGTCGCTGCATCCCGGCGGAGGTTTGCTGGCATAATGTTGGCCAGAACCGGTAGCCACTCAGTGGGAGTGCATTTCAGTGTGCCCGTTATTGTTCGAAGGACGCTGTTGATCTGGACGTCCAATTTCTTTGTGTGGGCGGTTGATTCCCAGACTGGCACGCAGTACTCCGCGCTATAGAGTACACGAGCGCGAGGGGGGTTGTGCGAAGAGTTTTGGTGGTGGCTCCCCACGTTGTACCGGCCAGTTTGCGTAACAGAGCCCCTCTGCTTTTTGTTTTTTCACACACCTTTCATCAATTTGTACACCGTCAAAAGCAGTGAGATAGGCCTGTAACTTGAGGCCTGATCTTCTGGCTTTCCAGGTTTCAACAGGGCGATGACCTTTGCTCCCTTCCAGGCTCTGGGGATTGTGCCACTTAAATCGACATTGGTAAACAAGGCTGCCAGCCATTCTTGGCCGACAGGTCCCAAGTTCTTGAGTAATTCTGGATAGATGTTGTCATTGCCCGCGGCTTTTTTGGCTTTGGTGGCCAGAAAAGCATCAGCAATCTCTTCCCTTGCGTATGGATGGGAGATCGTGGAGCTTGTTAGTAGGCTCCTTAAGGTCGCAGTGAGATCTCAGCGCACATATTGTTTGTGTTGCTTGTTGATTGCGGCTTTTGTGCAAGTGAGGAGGTGAGAGGTGATTTGGTTGGCGGTGACGTGTGGTGCCTTTTTTATAGGTTTTATGCTGGCGCCAAGATGGTAAAGAGGATTCCATGCTTTGCGTCCGGAGTGTGCAAAGTTAATCTCCTCAACTTTTTCTCGCCATGGCTG